TCAAAGCAGTTTGAACTTCTTCCTTCATCACTATAGGCTCTTGCTCACATGTTGTTTCTTGAAATTCTTCTGTGTCTGCCAATTCCTTTTGGTACAGTGACTCTGTATCCTCTTTCCATCTTCTTTTAATATTTCCTGGATCATTTAACATTCTGCCCAAAGCATCCTTAAGCATAGCAACTTGAGGTTTGAATTAGTTCTTCAGTTCCTTGAGCTTAAGAAACGCTGAGCGAGCTTGGCCCTTTTGCACATTTCATTGTAATATTTTACTTTGTCTTCCCGCGGTGCCTTTTGAAATCTTTTGTTCAGCTCTTTAATATCTTGAATTTTTCCTTCTGCTTTGGCTTCTCGGTGCTCTAGTGCAATATTCAGAATCTCTTCTAACATCTGTTTTGGCTTTTTCTTTCTTCTCTGTCTTTGTAATGATCTTTTGCACTTTTCCTGGATGGTAGTATTGATATCCTCCCACAGCTCGTCTGGTCTTCGTTCATTGGTGTTCAAGGCCTCCAACCTGTTTCTGAGATGGTTCTGAAATTCAGATGGGAGAAACTCAATGCCATATTTTTGTTCCCATGGATTTGATTTAATTTTTCTTAGATTATGCTATATATTTACAGACATAGCTGCTGTTGTTGTTATGTGCCCTCAAGTTGCCTGTGACACCAGCTCTGAACCCTGCTCTATCCTAAGTCAACCTTATTGTCTCTGACACACTCCTATTACCCCAGTCACTAAGTCAATCTATCTCATCGAGGGTCTTCCTCTCTTATGTTGTGCCTCCACCCTCCCAAGCATTATGTCCCTCTCCAAGGACTGTTCCCTCCCTGCAACATGCCCAAAGTATGTCAGACAGAACTTCAGAATCTTAGCCTCCTAGAATCACCCTGGTTTCTTTCAGAGTTAAAAAAGTTATTTCTCGATCCATCTTGAAATACAATGTTGTGAGTGACAGGATAATATCCATACGCATACAAGGAAGTCCAGAGAATACCACTATCATTCAAATATATGCACTAACAACTAGAGCCAAAGAGGAGGAAATAGAATATTTCTAACAACTTTTGCAGTCAGAAATCCACTGAACATGCAAACACAATGCATTAATAATAATGGGTGACTGTAATGTAAAAATTGGAAATAAAGAAGGATGAATAGTTCAAAAACATGGACTTGGTGACAGAAAGGAGGCTGGACTGGAGGCAGAATGACAGAACTCTGTACAACAAATGACTTATTCATTGCAAATACTTTTAATAAGAAACATAAAAGCAGACTATACACATGGATTTCAGCTGATGTTATGGCGATGAATCAGAATGATTACATCTGTGGGAAGAATTCACTGGAGAAGCTCAATATCAGCTGTGAAAACAGGCCAGTGTTGACTGTGGAACAGACCACCAACTACTCAAAAGCAAGTTCAAGCTGAAGCTAGAGAAGGTTATATCAAATCCACAGAAGCCAAAATCTGACCCTTAGTCTATCCCAACTGAATTTCAAAACCATCTTAGGAACAGATTTGAAAGAAAAGGGGGTGGGGGGGAAGGAACAGATTTGAGACCTTCAACACTACTGAACAAAGACCAGATAAGCTGTGGGAGGATATCAAGAATATCATCCATGTAGTCTAAAAATGATTATATGATTGAGTATTATGGTTATGACAAGAGTCCAGAATGAAGGTTGCATAGTGGAATGTACTCGGGGTGGGGGTTGGGGTTGGGGGAG